CACACCTTCAATTTACGTGCGGAACAACTTACTCCCAGCGGCCGCGGGAAACAACTTCAACCACATTTTTCACTTCATTTACTTCTAAAAATTTCCTTCTCTGTCTACCCTATTTCCCCGCCACCAAAACCCTATAACCACCGTTTTCGAAGGACAAAATTCTGGTACTAGGGGTATATGAGGTGGACTACATAAGCTACTTTTGCCCAAAATAATATCCACCGTAGCTTGATATAGCCCCAATGTTGGTCCAACGCATCTACCGCGTGGGCCGTTGTAGGGACGAAGCGGTTTCTGTTGAATCTTCTGTAGCCATCAGCTACGAACTCAAGCGTGTGTCATTTTCCCGCGAGAAGTCATCAAGAGAATAACGCGAAAAATCCTTTGAACTGGTTTCCGTCCATTCCACTGCCGCGAGGATAAGGTTTTAAGTTAATTTCCTAATTGACCAAATTTAATGCCTTCAAGTATAATTTGACAACTAACAATAACACTGATTAGGAGAAGGTTTGTACAATAATAAAAGGCCTCATTAGGTGAACTTCTAAATAAGTAATCTTCGACTTCAACAAAGCGACAGAAGTTACGTCTACGAGTTCCGTGTTCTTGCCTATCCACAGTCACGCATGCATTAACCCTGAGGTGTTGGCTCTCGCAAAAGTAAGAATGTGATAATAGGCACGCAGAAAAAGGAACTACAGCAAACTGGCCAGTAGAATTAACTACGACAAAGTCAGTTTTTGGTCTTCGGAGCCGTCGTTTTAAGCGCGTTGTGCTAGGTCTTGTGCCGCAAGGTTATAGAGTGCTAAATCGTCATGAGGAATTGTACACCTAATTATTTATTTGTAATGTGATTTCAGTTAGGCGCTGGCGTAGTGTGGCGTGGCCCTCAGACGAACCTTTTGCTACAGTGAAAACAAGTATACCTTTGACACACCCTCCGCCAATACCGCCGGGCCGATTTTTGAAAGAGCTTTAATTGAGTTAATTATTCCATTTTTATGCTATAACGTCTGCCCGCGTACACGTGCCCTCCTCCACTTCCCTATTCGAGGCCTTTTTTCTGCGGCAGTATAATTTAGACAGAGAAAAAAACGATTTCGAATGGCTTTGGCTAGGCCTCCAGGGATATGCTCTGCAGTCGTGCTGTGATAAACCCAAAAAGCGTCTGTTCAGATCAATACGTAATTAGAGTATGCTGGTATACTGTGTCGGCAAATTTTGGCTGTTGGAAATTGACCAGTTTGTTCTTGTAGGGTGTAGTGGAGGGGTCGGCAACCTTTTTGACTCAGAGAGCCAAGAAGGCAAATATGTGAAAATTTATTTCAGCGAGAGCCATATCATATATTTTAAAATTAAATTCAATTAAATGTGCGTATAATAAGCCCCTGGAATTATTCTTTTAC